AATCTCGCGAAACACCATCAGCACCATCGTCACCCTCAAAAGGAATCTACCCGCCATTGTTCGCAGGCAGGGTATCTCAGGAAGAGGACCCATTTCATTGGGATGAACATGAAGACGGCAGTAGAAGGAGAAGACGTAGAGTATGAGGATCTCATGGAAGAAATGGAGGAAGTCCCTAAGAACGACCAAGGAGAAACGCTACCGGAATTGAGTCCGGAAGAATTGGATGTTCTGGATCAGGAAGCCGCAGTAGAAGAACTGAACCGCCTCAGTAAACTAGGAGTGATCGAGGAATTCATGGAGGCGAATGCAACAGGGGACGAGAAGCGCATGGACTTGCGCGAGGTGTATGATTGGCGACACAGAGATGGAAGATGGAAAAGGCGGTGTCGCATAGTGGCCAGGGAGTACAGGGCAGGCGCGTCGTCGACTGCTGAGACATTCAGCCCAACGGCGAGCAACGCCGCGTCGCGTCTAGTCTTGTTGTTACACCTGGTATATAAGTGGGTCGTCGTAGTACTTGATATAAAGGACGCGTACCTTCAGGTCCCGCAGCAAGAAGAGGTGCTCATCACGATTAGTGATTGGATGAAACGAGCAGCCAACCTGAAGGAAGGAGTATTGTGGAGGTTAAAGAGATGCCTCCCGGGTCAGAGAAATGCAGCAACAAGATGGTATGAACACTTGCGGAGTATACTGGAGAAACTAGGATTCGTATTCTCAGTACACGTACCCGCGTTGGCAAGACACGCCACAAGGAAGCTGTGTATCTCTATCCACGTAGACGACGAGTTACTAGCCGGAGAAAGAGAGGAAACAATCGGCTAGTGGAAGAACTGGAGAAAATTTTCAAAGTGGAGAAGGAAGGACCGTATCCAGCAAACGGAGTAGGAAACGGAGAAGAGATGCGGTATCTCAAGAGGAAGTACGTATTCATTCAGGAAGGTATCGTTGTTCAACTCAATGAGAAGTATGTCCGGAAGTTGATCGAGTTGTATGACCTCGGACGACTGAAAAGTAAGGCCACGCCGGAACATGTGGATCTGGTGAAGGAAGACCGGAGTAAGGAGTTGAATGCTGAAGAGACAAAACGGTTTAGATCTGGACTCGGATCTATTTTGTACCTTGCACAGGACAGAATTGACATTCAGTATGCCTCAAAGTGCTTGGCATCAAGTATGTCGAAGCCGACGGTGCAGGCACTAAAGTGTCTGAAGCATTTGATTCTGTATCTGAGTGGGACAGCCACAAGAGCTACTCTTTTACCGTACACCGAAATCGGAAGCCGGTTGATCACCAAGTTGAATGGCCGAGAGGATGAAGAAATTGCCCCGGAGTCAGGACATGTGGTGGAAGCGTATTCGGACAGTGATTGGGCAAGCCTGAAGACACCTGAAAGAGCACGAAGGAAAAGTACATCATCAGGGATTATTGTACTGAACGGAGTGCAGGTGTTATCGTTCTCAAGAACACAGAAGGCCACCTCATCTTCAAGTTGCGAAGCAGAACTGTATGCGCTAAGTGGAACATGTGGAGAAGCTATCCTAGTCGGAAGGCTATTCGAGTTCCTTGTAGGAGAGCGCGTGAATGTGGAGATACGGTGCGATTCATCGTCTGCACGGCAGTGGAGTCAACGAAGAGGAGTTGGACGCCTGAAGCATGTGGACGTAAGGCTGTGTCAACTACAAGACTGGGTGAGAGAAAGTCTTGTCAAACTTGGTACAGTAAGAACCCAGCTTAATGTAGCGGATCTGAACACCAAGAAGTTGTCGTATGCCCGGAGAGCATTCCTACTGTATCACCTGTCACAGGTAGAGTATGATGAGGAAGGAAGCCTGACGTATACTGGAGAGGACGAGTATGAAAAGCACGAACAGGAAAAGAGATTGAAAGCGTATGTCGGAAGTGGACAAATCAAGAACCTCATAAGAGCAATTCAAGTATTTCACCTCATGAAGCCGATTACCGCAGCATTGCTCAAGGAGGAAGTAGCTAACGCCCAAGTAGAAGCCTGTGGAGCCTTGGAGAAAGGTATGAACGCCATGGACGGAGACTTCACGAAGTTTGAAGTTGGAATGATGGTATGCGTATTTTTGCTCGCAGTGCCGTATGCTATTTCTGTATGGACGAAGCTCACGAGAGTCTTGGAAAACCTACGAGGTATTGGACGCGTGAAGATCAGTACGGGAAGCCGAGCACGTGTGTACCACCGTGGAACATGCTGGCACGTCCAGGGATCTCACAAGAAGCCAGGCCGGTGGGTCTGGAAGGACATGCAGGAAGCCGAGCTGGAAGGCTTTAGGGCATGTTGGATTTGTTTCCCAGAGACAAAACCGGAGTCAAGTTCCCACAAACGTAAAGGAAAACTGGTACAGCAGAACTTGGAAGACAGCGACTGGGAGCTAATGGAGCCTGAGTTCGAAGTGCAAAGTACCAGCGGATGCGGAAAGATGTGTTACTGGTGTGGAACCCGTAAATGCACGAGAGAGAAGAAGGACCACCAGCATTGCGCTTGCTCACCTTGTATCGCAGGATATGCATCTGCGAAGTGGAGAGAGAGCTACGACCGTACAAAGTCGACGGAAGAGCCTACCGAAAGAGTATCGGAAGAAGCAAGTGGATCCGGAGAGACAACGACAATGCACGAATGGAATACCGGAGTCCAAAGGAGCAAAGTTGGAAGCGGATATGGCAAAGGATTGAGAAAGCGGGGAAAAGCCACTATGGAGATTATCCACACAAGTGGAGTCCGTATGCCTATCGTAAGCGAGGAAGATTTTCGCCTTGCGGGAAAGGTTATGTCCGCGAGACCAGTGGAAGAAACCGAGAAAGAAAAGGAGCCGGAGATGATTGAGTACCGTGGACAAATGATGACGGTTCAGGAAATGGGAGAACTGGTAATGCCACAAGAATGCCAGGATTCTTACGAAGCGTATTGCGAACGCACGGAGAGAACTGAGGAAAGAATCGAGGATGATCTGTTTGACAACAAGGATCAGAATGTGGATCCAGGTACGCCGGATAGCACGGAGATGCGTACGTTGACAGGACGTCATTAAGCCCTACATCGTGATCGAGTATGAGAAAGAGCAGTGAGGGTAGGCCTGACGAAGTTTCACCCCGGAACAAAACAGCAGCAGCGCTAAAAGAAGGAAGAGCGCTGGAGTGGAAAGTGTTTTAGTAGTTTCACTTGGACGAAGTACTTGTTACTGTACTGGAAAGGAAACCGAAGTGGTCTGACACACCTCCTTAATTGGAGGACGGTCAAAAGGTGGGTTGCATGGATTGTTTAACCCAAGGATTGCAATGGCAAAGCCTATGCAGTCAAGGGCGGAGGTATGCCCGACCGCAGACCAGGAGTCGAAGTACAGCACAAGGACTTCGAGGCAGGGTGTTAAATCTTGTACATGGAAACGCCCCACGCCTTTGGTGAGCCCTAGGCTACGGTATAACTTGTATAGTTGTGAAGTGGACCGTACGCAGCGCCTTTGGCTTAAGCAGGAAAAAGCGTGACCGCTTAGGGTCTTACAGTTTAACTTTTTTCGTTTGTCCAGTGGTGCGACCGACTGAAGATTCAGCCGGGACAGCGCCTTTCTATGCTGAAGCAAGGCCTGTATCATGCTTGAGTGGGCGGGTTTTCTTTAACTTCCATGCTTCTGAGGATGGGTGAGCTCAGCACTGCGGCAAAGCCGCCACAAACGTGTGTACCTTCAGACGGGGTGCAAAAAGAGCGGATGAGTCCTTGATGCATAAGGACGAATGTCGTGATGTTGCCCGCTCAAGCTTCAGCCCGCCCGCCGCACCCACGGCCCTTGCTCAGCACTGCGGCAAAGCCGCCACAAACGTGTGTACCTTCAGACGGGGTGCAAAAAGAGCGGATGAGTCCTATATATATATATATATATATATATATATATGACGGTCGAACGAGCCGGCTGAGTCTGCAAGTCGCGACCTGTTTCACCCCTAGAGTCCTCTGTACAGTGTTCTTAGTTTTCTTGGTATACTTACTTCTTACTGGGACCGAGTGCTACGGACGTAGTCGTTGAGGCCCGCTCACGCCAAAAAAGATCCTAGTGTGCATTTTGGCTGTCAGAAAACTTTTTGTTGTGGAAGTCGAGGCCCAGAGTATCTGAGAGAATCATCCTGACACACCAGCCCCACTGGCGAAGAAAATCAGAGAGCGCCCTTGCGTCTCAGCTGTGGTTCCGATCCCGACGGTCTACCCGGCGTCCAGCTTCTAGTCCTAGTTCAATTGGAGGCTTCAGTGTCTACGGGCCTTGAGGGCTTGAGCCCTGCACCCCTAGACCCGATGGCTTTAGTCTATTATCCGAAACCCGATCACTACTGGGATACTGTAGATTTCAATATTCGGCAGGATCGCACTGATGCGGCCCGCCGGAAGTGTACAGTACTGAGGTCTCAAGTCATGCCATGCCACACTCCCTGCTATGCCCCCTCCACGGACTGCAGCATGCCTTTCTCTGCAACTTGCTGTCGCAGTGTGGAGAGATATCATCACAGGTACGAGACTAGAACTGCGTTTCCAGTTGATTCGCCCCCCGTTAGCTGTCAAGAGTGCGGCTCACCTCGGCAGTTTTGGCGCTCGAAACCCTATGTCGGCTTCACAAGGCAGTTCATGTCGATCGCGCCTATGGCCACGAAGGGCGCTTATCCTATCGCCACAGAAAGCGCTTAACCGATCGGGGCATGATGTTTGTGCGCTGGACGGGGCAGCTCGCGGGTGCTTTGGCTTAAGACTTGCGTTTGCTTAGTTTGCCAGAGCACGGTACATAGCCCTGAGCCTGCAATGGGTTGCCGCGCGTCATCTTTGAAAGCGGACTCTCAGGGAGGCGCCGGTGCGTGGCAGTGGCAGGTCGTTCCTTGATTGTGGTGAAATTTGCAGACGGGGCTGTTCATCCTGAAGTCCCCGTCGACCAGGCCAAGCCGCTTCAATGCAAAAGTTGCAAATCCCGCAGAGCTTTAGACAGGTACTCCTGATGGAAGAGGGCCTCCCGGAGCAGGTGGGACCTGCTTTGCCAACAAGAGCGCCGGGAATGGAACGAACCTCTGTGGAGACTCCCGAGCTGGAAGCGTTTCCGACGCCGTCATGAGCTCGGTGTGAGACATTCAGCTGTCGATTTTCCGGACGTGTTCTCCGAGGACGCTCCTGACATCCAAGAACTTGCAGGCTGCGGCTGTGGAGGGAGAGGCGCACAAGCTCGAGATCCGTCAGGAGGTGCCGCTGGCATCCGTCTTGCTTTCTTGTGGCACTAATGTGAGATGCTGGTTGCTCTTCTGCGTAGGTCAAATCCCCGTCGGCACGCACAGGAAGCAGTGATGCCACGAATGGGGCATCGCCATCGTCTCAGTGCAAAGGACTGTTCCGTTCAGGCTGTGTACTGCATGCAGCTTGCCGCAGATGCCTGGAGAACCGAGGCAGTTCACCTTCTGTGGAGTGGATGTCACACCAGCCCTGCCCGTGGTGGTAGCCCTGGCTTTATGAAGCCCTTTTGCGTGGGTGATGCGGTGAGGGCAGACTCCTGAGCCGAGGTGCTGCCAACTTCGACGGTGAGCAGCTGAGGGCAGCAGCTTCTAGGATTCTAGGCCTTATGACTATCTTACTGTGTCTTGTCACGCGGATGCGCTGCAGGTCCTGTCTTCGATGATCACGTTCTTCCTTCTCTGGAAATCTCACATGGCCGGCGCAGAGCCTCAGGCGTGCAGCGGGCGGCCCCACCGCAGCCAAGGTCATCATGGCAAGCATCTTTGCCGTCCTGTCGTTGGCCACTCATACATTCATGGGGTGCCCTTAGTGTTCTTTGCTGGTTCAGATGCTTCTTCCCATTCTTTCATACTGTTTCCTTTGTGAGGTACAGTGCCATTGCAGATCCGGGGCAGATGGAGGAGGATCCCGCGGAGGACTGTGCAGGGACTGCGGGCAAGCCCTAGCGAGGGGTTTCTTGTCCCTTGCCTTGCACCTTGTTCAGGGTGGGGAGCTCCCACCACGTGCTCACAGGCTTCGGTCCGAGAGCTGCGACTTGCAAAGCCATAGAAAAGCCGTGAGTGGCGTTTTGCTGAGGTCGTGGCTGTATCCCAGGCCCATCCTGAGGCACGATCACTACTGCACTTTGGCAACATGATGCTCCCCTTGATCGCCAGCCTTTGTGCCAAGACGTGGATTGTATGGCACTTTCGTGCCAGGTGAGGCCACCCAAGTATGTTGTAAGTTGCCGCGCACGCAATTGTCCAAGGTAAGTGGATCCATAATGTGATCGGTTGGGCACCTTATATGCTGTAGTGTCATGCTCATTGGCTCATTGATTGACCCAGCCGCCGCCGCCCAGGCCTGAGAAATCACCGTGCTTTCATGGCGATGCTGGTTGGCCATGCCCTGAGTCACCTGGCGACTGGCCGCTGGCCGTGACTTGAACATGGTTGTGCTTCGAGGTATGGCCCTGCTCGGCATGCTCGGGCCTCGATGGGGGCTGTGCAGAAGCAGTGAATAGCACACTGGCATTTGCAGGGCAGGCTTACTGGTGGATGTGTGGTTTCTCGCGACCTTCCTTGTCAAGGCGGGGCTACTCAGACCATGTGATGCACTCCAACGGAGCAATTAAAGTAGTATAATGCCAATGGGAGAGCTTTGCACAATTATCCGCAATGACAGCTCTGTCTCCGCTGGTCACTTGGTGCATCATGACGCAGGGCGTGCAAGCCCAGCTGATCCTGCTGCTATGTTTGCTCGGGCCACAGTGCGTCAGACAAGTTCCACGTCATGACCGCTAACACTCCCAAAGCTGAAATCAGACGCATCCGACTTTTCAGCGTGGTTTCCGAGATTCCCGCGGTGAGGTTGCACGTGGGCTACAGCTTGATCTTCCTGCGCCTGGAGCTGCTGGGCACCCAGCAGATGCCTTTGGGGGGCTTTTGGGTTCCTGCTGGTTTGTAAGGCAAGTCCTGTACATTCAACTGGGCCTCGTCTCGAGGCAGGGGTCCTTGGGGGTCTTTGGGGAGTAGGAGCTCTTTTAGCTGCAAGGAACGAGTTGAACTCCGAGTGGAAGGAGGACAAGTTCTGGACCGCAGCGGGCCAAGCAGGTGAGCGGGTGAGCACTCTCGGTCCTTTGCTTGGTTTATCTTGGTTTTTGCAACGAGCCGAGGCTCCAAGCGGAGTATCTGCCAAAGACTTGGACGTCGAAGAGTGCCCTCCATGAGTCGACGTTATAAGAATCATAGAACAGACTATTCGTAGTGATTAATGACTAGTGGCTTTGACATGAGGTACAATGCCCTCTTGGACAACGAAGCGCTGGTGTACGATGCAAGCAGGTGCTTTGGGCTTTGGCGGCTTTGGGCCCTGGCTTCCGCGTGGGCATGGCTGTGCTTCTGCCAGGAACCGCTTCGACAAGGGACTGTTCAACAACTGCTGGGCATTTTGGTGCCGCTCGCGCGCCCCCGGCTCAGCGACATCTGGCTCCCCACTATCTCTCATCGTGGAGCACCCGCGCGCTATGCTCAGGAAACTGGCGACTGGTGAGCCGTTGCGGGCAGACCCACTGCGAGGATGAAGCAGCCAACGCTGCTGGTAGAGAACATCAAGTGATATCGAGTGAGAAGAAAACACAAACAAAAACATGACAGAATTCGAAAACGACTGTCCCGAAAGCGTTTGAGGCAACGGAAGATAGACATGAAATTGAAGACCGTGCAACAAGCACCTACAAAAACACATCGCATCATACCAGCAACCATCACTCCAGTCGTGCCATCCCATCCATCAACCCATCAAACCATTCCATGTGCTGTACCGGTTTTTACAGACTACAGAAATTATGGGTTTAGGCTGGGGTTTTATTACAGTAGCATACATTTAGGGCTTGATAGACTCCGTAGGCTTGGAATCTTCAATGGTTCGCAGTTGCCGATTGTGGTGTAGCATGTTGGCCATTGGGTGCTAGCTTCTGGGGTTGTGTTTGGTGTTGTTCAGCTTTGGCCAATGAATTCCTCCCAAACTCCCCAAATCCCCACGAAATCTGGGCCCAACTCCTGTCAGTTCCAAGATAAACCGAAATCCGTAATCCTAAAACTTGAGATTCTGATTCTATTCACTCAGACTGCGGAGAAAGCCTTCGCAACGCTTTCGGGAAAAGTCTGTTGTACATAATTTGTACCGCGGTGGCTTTGCATGGAGAGAATGGTCACCATCCAGTGCCTCCGCGGCACAAGCCAACGCAACGCTCTGCCACATGAAGTTTGCCCAGCAGCCTGCTTCCTCGAGAAGGACCCGGGTGATTGCCTGAAGTCCTGCATGTAGCTTGTGCAAAGAGACAGTGTGAGAGTCGAGAGACACGAGTTGCTGAGGGGGTGTATGACACCTGAACCCTGAACCCTTTGCTGCAGAAACCTGGGCAGTGCTTGCTGGGCTCGGTGCCGGATCTTCCGCCCGGATCTTGGATAATCCTGTTGTCGGCTTCCTGCTTAGATGCGCGTTGCAAGTCTCTCACCTACAGATGAACAGTGGGAACGATGGGACATGTCATGAGTAATCCCATTGCAAGCGGCCAGGTTATGTTGTCTTGCAAGTGTCTGGTGATGTCTGCTGCATGGGGGGTGACACGCATGGCTTTATGATGAGCCCTACCTAGAGGCCCACACACCGTACAGCAGAAGCTACGGCAGCTGTAGATGCTCCTGGCTGTTGATTGCAGCTGGCGCTGTCTGCAACACGACCTGCTGCCATGGCTTCTAGTTAACATCCCTGGAACATACCGGAACTCAGGTTCTGAGTTTCACTTTTAGGGCCCAGGCCAATCACCGAAGTCTCGGCCCTTGCGGCATGTTTTTGCTAGCGCATGGATTACTATCGTGCGTTTTGGCTGTTTTCGGGGTCTGGTCTTGGGGTCTTGGGGTCTTGGGGTGGGGGGGGAGGTAGGGGTGGGGGGGGGGGGGCGCGTTGGGGGGCTGATAATGTCCACTTTGCCACCATCATCGTCATCGTCATCATCATCGTCATCCTCGTGATCATCACGGCGTGGTCATCGTTTACGTTCCGGAACTCATCATCCCCACATGAGGTTAGACCCTCGACACAAACAGTATGATCGTCACGTTCAAGTTGCATTCATCGGGTCTCCACAGTCCAAAATTAACCGCCGGCACACACTGACATTGCGAAACAGAAGGCAGTCGTTTTTGTTGGACACCTTGCATCGCAAGGTGGCGCCGCGGTTTTGGTGCTTGGCGACTTATGGGTTGCCAACGGCTTTGCCAGGCCTAGGGGTGGGGCCGATGTAGGTCCTTCTCTTCTGTATTTATACACTATACACAGGTTGGTTATGGGCGTCAGACCAGTGTGAGTGCATGCGATTGCTCCCCGGAACGTGCCAAAACTCGAATATCCCAAAGTCTATTGTACCTGTCAGTTGACTGCCGGAGCAGTGCCAAACATGCCGTTGCCTGAAGTTCGCACGGCGTTTTTCCTCCCGCTGACTGTTGGGCAGCGCTTCTCCGACGCACGAACATGCAGTGCTCGGCAGTTCTGCTTCTATTGGCAAGTCTCTGTAAATGCAACAGCAACGGCAGCAACGGTTTCGCAGCAGACGAACCATGCCGTGTGTCTATGGCCATGGTGCAGTGGGAGGGCTTGTTTTGAGAATGCCGCTGCTGCTTCGAACTTGAACTTGCCGCGCTTGTGAGTAGTTGTGACAGGCGGTCATATCTACCATCGGTGCCCACAATCAGAAGATGGCTGTCAAAGTGTCCTGGATGAATTGGCGCTCAACTTGTGCATGTCCTCCTCTACTGTGCTTGTTCGGAGGCGCTGCCGCCCACTGGGCGAGGCAAGGCGTTGAAGAACCTGCAGGAGGCTCAAGTGTGTGGCCCATGGTCGGTAATGCCCACTGCACGACGGACAAATGCGGTAACCGGGTTTTCCTGCACATACGCCTTGGGGTTGAGGCAGTGGCACCCGGACAAGAATCAAGGACAAGGAAAAGGCTCGGCGCCACTGGCTTGTGCAGGCAATTGTACTCTCATTCGTCTCGCAGGTGGCGGCGCATGTTTTCCAGTTTCTCCAAGGAAGTTCTCCTTCGCAATGAAGGCGATGGTGGGCATGCCAACCCACACGTGTTACTAGCAGTGCAGCCATCCTGGCATCTTGCACGTCAACGGGTTGCTCAAATGCTTACTTAGCCGATCTTGCTGGACCCCTGCGGACCGTTCGACTTTCCAGGAGGCCTTTGCCAGCTTTGGTCGAAAAGCGCCGTTCCCTCCTCACTGAGCTGTCATGTTGCAGACTTGAGTTTACACAGCTTCAGCCAAGAAGCCCTGATGGCGATCCCGAGCCGCGAACTGTCCTGCAGGCTCGGCTGCGGTTTGCTTGAGCAAGCTGTGCCAGTGAGCTTTGGTATAACACCTTGTGGCTGGGCTGTAGGCCGCATTCTCGGATCTGAGCTTTGTGGACAGTTCAGGCCGAGATGTTCTGCTAGGATCCTGGACTGGACTCTGTGACAGTGTTGAGCATGTCGGGGTCAACATTGATTGAAACGGTTTGATTAGCTATAGTGACTATATTAGAAGCCAGGTATCCTCGGAGCACTACCTCCTTACCACCCACTGCACGAGAGCTACGTGCGAAAAGACGAGCTCTGCATGCATTCTGCTTTCTTGAAGGTGTGCTGTGAGACATCTCAAGCAGACTGTGAGGTTGTCATGCCTGAAGATGCTGTTTCTGCTGCCTGGGCTCGATTCCAAACTCCTGTGGCAGCAGCTCTGCGACACGACGTCTGTTCCGGGAACACTGCGCTCTGCTGTTTTATTGAATGGTGCCGCTTGCGCCGAGCCCTGGTATCCCTTTGCCGAGAGCAGCCTCCGTGCCTGTGGTAACTTGCTCACGAAGCAACACATCTACCATTCGCACACTGGTGCGAGGCATGCGTGGAAGCCAAGAGTAAACAGGATCACGAGAAGAAGAATCCAGCAGCAGGGAAGGATTCAGTAGGAGTTCCCTATCCTATCATTCAACTGGCTTTCATGTTTCTGCAAGGAAAGGATACACCAGCATTGGTTGGAATTTGTTCATGGACACGGATGTCAGTTGTGATCCCAGTATCTGGAAAACAGACCGAAAGGAAGACACTGGAGAGAGTGCTAAAATGGGTGCACAGTCTTGGACATTTGGACGAATTAGGATTCGTTGGAGATTCGGAAGAGGCAATGTTGTCTCTGATAGCTGCAATCGTGGAAACTCGGAGGAAGATGAACCGGAAGACCCACGATCAGAACAACAAGCCGTATCAGAAAGGAAGGACGGCGAGAGTTGAAAGGTTTATCCAGACAGTGAGGAACCAAACGGTATGCTTAGTCCGAGCGGCGGAAAGAAAGCTTGGTATAGAGATTCCCGAAGGCCATTCGGTGTGGGCCTGGGGACTATGCCATGCGTCGTGGTTGCTGAACAGGTACCACAGACACGCCGCGATAGGTTCAACACCCTACGAAAGCATAGTTGGTAGACCTTACCTCGGAAAGATTGCCCCATTCGGAGAGTATGTGTATGCTCTGAAGAAGCCTGAGAAGAAAGGAACAGCGAATTGGATTGGTGGAATCTATCTAGGTAAGAATTCCCAGGATATGCATTTGGTAGGAGTTGAAGACGGAGTCTTGGCAACTGGATCGGTAAGACGGATCGCTACTGGATGGAGAAAGGAACCAGTATTGAAGTTGAGTGTAACTCCATGGAACCCCAAGAAGCCAAAATGAACGTATGTGAAGCAACCGTTACCAGCCCCAGCATTGGCAAGCATTACGGAAGAAGGAACGGCCCAGGAACCAGTAGTTCGAGAAGAGGACAGAGGACAGTCCCAGGAGGAACAAGTGGAAGAATTGCTGGACATGTTGGACACAAGTGGAGCCTCTAGCGGAGGCAGGGCCAGTGGAGAGTCTAGTTCTCATTCCCGGAGTTCTAGCTCGATGCACGATGTACCTTCTGGAGAAGCTGCACAAGGAGGACTTGTTAGCGACGAGACCATGCTGGAAGATTTGAGGAAGCGATCAGTCGAAGGAGGACAAGAAGTGGAAGGATCGCCGAAGAAATCTCGCGAAACACCATCAGCACCATCGTCACCCTCAAAAGGAATCTACCCGCCATTGTTCGCAGGCAGGGTATCTCAGGAAGAGGACCCATTTCATTGGGATGAACATGAAGACGGCAGTAGAAGGAGAAGACGTAGAGTATGAGGATCTCATGGAAGAAATGGAGGAAGTCCCTAAGAACGACCAAGGAGAAACGCTACCGGAATTGAGTCCGGAAGAATTGGATGTTCTGGATCAGGAAGCCGCAGTAGAAGAACTGAACCGCCTCAGTAAACTAGGAGTGATCGAGGAATTCATGGAGGCGAATGCAACAGGGGACGAGAAGCGCATGGACTTGCGCGAGGTGTATGATTGGCGACACAGAGATGGAAGATGGAAAAGGCGGTGTCGCATAGTGGCCAGGGAGTACAGGGCAGGCGCGTCGTCGACTGCTGAGACATTCAGCCCAACGGCGAGCAACGCCGCGTCGCGTCTAGTCTTGTTGTTACACCTGGTATATAAGTGGGTCGTCGTAGTACTTGATATAAAGGACGCGTACCTTCAGGTCCCGCAGCAAGAAGAGGTGCTCATCACGATTAGTGATTGGATGAAACGAGCAGCCAACCTGAAGGAAGGAGTATTGTGGAGGTTAAAGAGATGCCTCCCGGGTCAGAGAAATGCAGCAACAAGATGGTATGAACACTTGCGGAGTATACTGGAGAAACTAGGATTCGTATTCTCAGTACACGTACCCGCGTTGGCAAGACACGCCACAAGGAAGCTGTGTATCTCTATCCACGTAGACGACGAGTTACTAGCCGGAGAAAGAGAGGAAACAATCGGCTAGTGGAAGAACTGGAGAAAATTTTCAAAGTGGAGAAGGAAGGACCGTATCCAGCAAACGGAGTAGGAAACGGAGAAGAGATGCGGTATCTCAAGAGGAAGTACGTATTCATTCAGGAAGGTATCGTTGTTCAACTCAATGAGAAGTATGTCCGGAAGTTGATCGAGTTGTATGACCTCGGACGACTGAAAAGTAAGGCCACGCCGGAACATGTGGATCTGGTGAAGGAAGACCGGAGTAAGGAGTTGAATGCTGAAGAGACAAAACGGTTTAGATCTGGACTCGGATCTATTTTGTACCTTGCACAGGACAGAATTGACATTCAGTATGCCTCAAAGTGCTTGGCATCAAGTATGTCGAAGCCGACGGTGCAGGCACTAAAGTGTCTGAAGCATTTGATTCTGTATCTGAGTGGGACAGCCACAAGAGCTACTCTTTTACCGTACACCGAAATCGGAAGCCGGTTGATCACCAAGTTGAATGGCCGAGAGGATGAAGAAATTGCCCCGGAGTCAGGACATGTGGTGGAAGCGTATTCGGACAGTGATTGGGCAAGCCTGAAGACACCTGAAAGAGCACGAAGGAAAAGTACATCATCAGGGATTATTGTACTGAACGGAGTGCAGGTGTTATCGTTCTCAAGAACACAGAAGGCCACCTCATCTTCAAGTTGCGAAGCAGAACTGTATGCGCTAAGTGGAACATGTGGAGAAGCTATCCTAGTCGGAAGGCTATTCGAGTTCCTTGTAGGAGAGCGCGTGAATGTGGAGATACGGTGCGATTCATCGTCTGCACGGCAGTGGAGTCAACGAAGAGGAGTTGGACGCCTGAAGCATGTGGACGTAAGGCTGTGTCAACTACAAGACTGGGTGAGAGAAAGTCTTGTCAAACTTGGTACAGTAAGAACCCAGCTTAATGTAGCGGATCTGAACACCAAGAAGTTGTCGTATGCCCGGAGAGCATTCCTACTGTATCACCTGTCACAGGTAGAGTATGATGAGGAAGGAAGCCTGACGTATACTGGAGAGGACGAGTATGAAAAGCACGAACAGGAAAAGAGATTGAAAGCGTATGTCGGAAGTGGACAAATCAAGAACCTCATAAGAGCAATTCAAGTATTTCACCTCATGAAGCCGATTACCGCAGCATTGCTCAAGGAGGAAGTAGCTAACGCCCAAGTAGAAGCCTGTGGAGCCTTGGAGAAAGGTATGAACGCCATGGACGGAGACTTCACGAAGTTTGAAGTTGGAATGATGGTATGCGTATTTTTGCTCGCAGTGCCGTATGCTATTTCTGTATGGACGAAGCTCACGAGAGTCTTGGAAAACCTACGAGGTATTGGACGCGTGAAGATCAGTACGGGAAGCCGAGCACGTGTGTACCACCGTGGAACATGCTGGCACGTCCAGGGATCTCACAAGAAGCCAGGCCGGTGGGTCTGGAAGGACATGCAGGAAGCCGAGCTGGAAGGCTTTAGGGCATGTTGGATTTGTTTCCCAGAGACAAAACCGGAGTCAAGTTCCCACAAACGTAAAGGAAAACTGGTACAGCAGAACTTGGAAGACAGCGACTGGGAGCTAATGGAGCCTGAGTTCGAAGTGCAAAGTACCAGCGGATGCGGAAAGATGTGTTACTGGTGTGGAACCCGTAAATGCACGAGAGAGAAGAAGGACCACCAGCATTGCGCTTGCTCACCTTGTATCGCAGGATATGCATCTGCGAAGTGGAGAGAGAGCTACGACCGTACAAAGTCGACGGAAGAGCCTACCGAAAGAGTATCGGAAGAAGCAAGTGGATCCGGAGAGACAACGACAATGCACGAATGGAATACCGGAGTCCAAAGGAGCAAAGTTGGAAGCGGATATGGCAAAGGATTGAGAAAGCGGGGAAAAGCCACTATGGAGATTATCCACACAAGTGGAGTCCGTATGCCTATCGTAAGCGAGGAAGATTTTCGCCTTGCGGGAAAGGTTATGTCCGCGAGACCAGTGGAAGAAACCGAGAAAGAAAAGGAGCCGGAGATGATTGAGTACCGTGGACAAATGATGACGGTTCAGGAAATGGGAGAACTGGTAATGCCACAAGAATGCCAGGATTCTTACGAAGCGTATTGCGAACGCACGGAGAGAACTGAGGAAAGAATCGAGGATGATCTGTTTGACAACAAGGATCAGAATGTGGATCCAGGTACGCCGGATAGCACGGAGATGCGTACGTTGACAGGACGTCATTAAGCCCTACATCGTGATCGAGTATGAGAAAGAGCAGTGAGGGTAGGCCTGACGAAGTTTCACCCCGGAACAAAACAGCAGCAGCGCTAAAAGAAGGAAGAGCGCTGGAGTGGAAAGTGTTTTAGTAGTTTCACTTGGACGAAGTACTTGTTACTGTACTGGAAAGGAAACCGAAGTGGTCTGACACACCTCCTTAATTGGAGGACGGTCAAAAGGTGGGTTGCATGGATTGTTTAACCCAAGGATTGCAATGGCAAAGCCTATGCAGTCAAGGGCGGAGGTATGCCCGACCGCAGACCAGGAGTCGAAGTACAGCACAAGGACTTCGAGGCAGGGTGTTAAATCTTGTACATGGAAACGCCCCA